CGGAAAACAGACCTAAGACGTTCTGTGGTCTGTAGGATGGGCATATGTTTCTGAATTATAGCCCTTAGTGGTGGTAACCTAGGGTGATAGGTAGTGACCAGTGGCAATTTGGTCGATCGTTGACGTGGTTTGTACGTCAGTGTTTGAGCACGAGGTATGTCCTTTGCTTTTTTTATAGCATTTTCAATGGGTCTACGATGATAATTTCTATTCCGGAGATGTCCGGATAGTTCTTCTGTTCGATTCTGAAAATCTAAATCCGAAGAACAAATGCGTCTCATGCGCAATGCTTGGCTGTACGGAATGTTTTTTGTACAGTGCGGGGGGTGACAGCTGCTAGGGAGCAGGTACATATGCTTATCCGTGGGTTTACGGAAGAGATCAGTTTTAAGTGCACTATTTCCCATGGTCACGGTAATGTCCAAAAAAATCTACACTGTTCTTGTGGATTTGTTAGCAGTGAATTTGATTGTGGGATGAGCCGAATTAATGTTCAATAGGAACGTATCCAAACTATCTTCACCATGGGTCCAGATCATGAAGATATCATCAATGTAGCGAAACAAAACCCGCGGGCTAGTGACTGTCTCTTATACACATCTAGATGTGTATAAGAGACAGATAAATAAGTTAGCAAAAGATGGAGCCATTTTGGTGCCCATCGCTGTGCCATGAATTTGAAGGTAATGACCGTCGCCGAAAACAAAGTTATTATTGGTCAGAATCAGCATGATAAGTTCACGGAGATGTGATTTAGATGGGGTTTTGCCCCGAATTTGTTTGTAATTTGAAATGCACGCATTAACACCTTCTTCATGAGGAATATTAGTATACAATGACGAAACATCAAGTGTAGCCAGAACAGTATTATTAGGTAAATTTGAAATTTGGTTAATTTTGCGGATAAAGTCCGTGGAGTCCTGAATGTACGAGGGGAGAGCAACAACATATGGTCTCAATAAATCATCCACATATTCAGAGATTTTTTCTGTAGCAGTACCGTTGCCCGAAATAATGGGTCTGCCAGGATGGCCTGCTTTGTGGATTTTGGGTAGGACATAGAAACGTCCTGGTGCCGGATCGACCTGGATGAGATGGGGTCCAATTTTGGGATCGATGGAACCTTTTTTAACCATCTTTAATACAGATTTTTCCACTTCATTAGAAATTTCCGGAGTGGGGTCCTCTGTGAACTTCCGATAGTGAAGAGGATTGTTCAGTTGTCTTAAGGACTCCTCTTCATAGGATTTAATGTCAATTACGACAGTGACAGAGCCTTTATCAGCTGGTTTGATGATAATATCATCACGCTGACGCAAATTGGCGATGGCCTGCCTCTTATTTTTTGTGAGATTGTCGCGGAAATCTGGACTAGGAGTGTGGTTTTTAACGTCCTCAATGGCCTGAATGAAAGTTTCTAAAGCTGGGCAACGATTCTTAGGGGGATTCCAGGTACTTTTAGGTTTGAATTTGGTAACATTGCCCGTGTTATCCGTAGTGTTGCCGTCGGAATCGGCGAAAAATTCACGGCATCTTAAACGTCTGAAGAAAGCTTCTAGATCCAAAGATAGTTGTTGTGGGTCAGCCTGCCTCGGTTTTGGGCAAAATTTGAGTCCTCGGGATAGAAGTTTGGTTTCTCCTTCGGAAAGCTGACAGTTAATTTGAACAACTGAATCCGTGGTGTTGCACGGATTATCACTAAAGCGCCGAATGAACCTTCTAGGTTTACGTGAAAGACAAACATTGTGCGAAGGTTTGATCACTTGTGTTGAAGTGATATTGTCTCGACCAAATTTGTGTTGTCTCCTCAGGGAAAGTTCCTTGGAAAGCTTAAGGCAATCCTTGGCAATAATCTTGAGTTTGTTTTGAAACTCAGATATAGGAAATGCAAAGCCTGTCTCTTATACACTACTTTAATTGTTTTTGTATATTGTATATGTATGTCTAAGTATATTATGGTTTATCGTTGTGAAACATTATGTGAATGTATTACCATACAGTGTGTGCATGTTAAAAACACATTACTTCACATTAAAAACTTTACATGGATTCATATTTCTTATAAATAAAGTCGGAAAAAATCCTGAGGTTTTGGACATGTATTGCAAGCAAAAAATAAATATTTGATCCAAAAAAAGAGTGTAGACTGAATAGTTTTATAATATGATCATGGTCAGATCAACTGATGACGCCAGTGTAAGCTGGCTGAAGAGCCCATCACACTCTCTGTCATGAGGGTGAATGTTGGCACTCAGTGGCGCTCATCAGAGGCAAAATCTCAATAGCAGCTGATCCAAATTTAGTTTGTAGTTTTATTTTATTTTTGTATTTGAATAACATATTAATGAATTGTGGTAATAATGTACATGTTTTGTACAATGTACCTAGTGATTATAATTAATGAATTTAAATAAGAATTATTGTTTTGGTATGCATAAACCTTCAAAACTCAAACTTTAATATCAATATGAACCGCAAAATACTAACCAACAACTATCAATGGTGGCAACGAGTTCCATTTTAGAATTGCTAGCTAGTGTTGATGTGATCCAGTGTTGGAAAAAAAACAAACATGACAGAATTACAGCAGAACTGTCTAAAATAGTGCTCAGCATACCTATCTGGATGGTCTGGACTGAAATGACAATAATGTACTCTATCAGTTATTTAAACATGACGAATTATAGTAAATGACATTCAAATCAAATGGATCGTTGTCTCATCCGACAAACGTTTTACAAACTCTGTAACCTTGTAATGAAGGCCCATTAAAAAAATATAGGCAATAGCTAATTGTTACACCAGAGTGGATGTCAATGTATGCATTGTTTGAAATAAGACAATAACTTTAAATCAGAATAAGGAATTCGTTTAATACAAGTTTGAAAATAGTCACTGCTTTCATTTCGCTTCCTTTCGTATCTAAGAGTCTTCAAATGGGAGGGTGTTGATAGGGGCGCGAACGTGAAGTGGAAGGGCTCGATGATTAAGTATGGGGTACTAGCTGGCAAAATAAGGTGATATTAGGTGATGTTTAACTACTTAAATGTATTTTTTTGCAACAAAAATGTCTAGTGGGGGCGTATGAATGCACGAGTTTTGTTTAAAAGGTGGGCGGTCTGAACCCTAGAAACGCTATTGCATACTTTAATCCTTAAATATTCGCTGAGAGTTGTATATATTTTCTTCTACAACAATTAATGTACAGTTACAACTGTTAATTATTTTATTATCTTGTTTAATGTAAAATGACCATTAAAAGCATATTTAAGCTATTAAATCTCGAATTGAATTAGATATATTTCAAGTTATATAATGTATCCCAATATAAGAGTAATATACAGAATATTTAAATATAGCTTTTGATTATTATTGGAGTTACCTCTAAATACTTTATTCATTATTTTTATTGTATCCTTATGCGGGAAATCACAAGGTCAATCTCAAGGTGATTGATTTTGGATTTCTTTCTTTCACACTTGACAAAAAATGAAAGAATATAATCAGTACCTGTTTGGTAAATTGTTATGTTCAATCCACAAATTATCTTTAACAAAATAAAAGACTTAACCATTTTGGGTCCTGATGATGTCCTGCGCAAATCAAAGGTATTTGTCATATCAAACTTAATAGTATTTCCAATAACATTGTTCACAAGTTGTGCAAATACTTAATCTCTGTGTATGCCAATAAACCTAAACACTGTAAAGCTTTCATGACTAATGTAATATAGGCATTTATATAGTAATAATTATTAGTTTTACTTTAAACCACTTCCCAATTGAATATAATGCAAAGCATATCTGAATTGCTAATAGGCCTACATGTACGTTGTTTCAACACACCCAATTCTCTATAGCAACATTGCCTTAACAGTTAATTTTTATATCTGCCTGGCCTTACGTTAGCAATTATCATCTTCTATAAAATAACTTTCACTAGCCTTAATAATATTGTATTCAAACATTTATATTAATAGATAGAGACATAAACGATACGATACTTACTGATTTAGAGGTAAAATACAAAGATCGGTTGATAGGAGTACGGTTTACTATATAGCTGTTGTGACATAGGAAAAGCATATGGAAAGCCACTGACATACAGGACCAAGGATAAGGAAAACGGAAGGTGACCAGGTCGGATACCGAAATCCATCAGTATACTTTTCGTCTCATACACTACATCCACGCCTCCACACGCTATCTTAGTGATTATTTTTAATGACACTTAACTATACGTATATATATATATATATATA